TGGAAGGTTTAGTAATCTTCTATACAAATTACGATGATTAAACCTAGCAGACCGATAGTATAAATCTTGGAAGGTTTAGTAATCTTCTATACAAATTACGATGATTAAACCTAGCAAACCGATAGTATAAATCTTGGAAGGTTTAGTAATCTTCTACACAAATTACACGATTTAAGCCTGCATTTTAGAACTTCTCTTGTTCTTTTGTGAACACGGATAAAATTAACCCCACTTCCGGTTTTTATTAATTTACACTTTCATTTCAAAATATTTGAAGCTTCCTGAATCACACATTCATGTAATAAATGATTTTTGGATTTGAAATTTTGCCATAGAAGTCCTTTCTTTTGTCACGTTCAGATGCATAGAACATAAATTTTGTTTTCGTTTACTTAAAACAGTTTACTTTCTGAATTTTAAAAATTCATTGAAACTTCTTTGATCATATACTTTTCATAAAAATTATTAGTTTGAGCAATTTATATGAGACTAAACATTCAGAGAGTATCATCTCTTCTTTCGTTGATTTAGATTTTGCTATTTACTGAATGGTAGAAAATTTTCAATTGAAACAAGCGTATTAGCTTATGTCCTGAAGATAAAATAAAGCCTAAAAAGCCAGAATAATTATGTGTCAGATCTCAACTTGACAGTAGTTAGTCTAATCTAGTGCAAGGAGAGTTTGTTTGTTTGTCTTTGAATTTCGCTCAAAGCTACACGAGGGCTACCTGCGCTAGCCGTCCCTAATTTAGCAGTATAAGACTAGAGAGAAGGCAGCTAGTCATCACCACCCACCGCCAACTCTTGGGCTACTCTTTTACCAACGAATAATGGGATTGACCGTCACATTATAACGCCCCCACGGTTGAAAGGGCAAGCATGTTTGGTGTGACGGGGTTTCGAACCCGTGACCCTCAGATTGCGAGTTGAGCGCCCTAACCACCTGTCCATGCCGGGCCACAAGGAGAGTGGCAGAAGACTAACGAGGTTTTGTTCTAAGAGTAGTGAAGGTTAGCTAAGAATCACGTTGTAAGTTCCTTTGCAATAATTGTACACTATATTGAGAAAAAAAAAGTTTAATAAATAAGAATAAGTGCTTATTATTCTAGGGGAAATAAATTATACTAAGATAATTCACGTGCATATACTAATCGAATGGATAGCTCGTGGTGTCGACTGAGCCGTTTGCGATGTCTGCATTCAAGAGATAAACTGTTAATCGTCTTAAACACATGCACATAAAATAAAGAACTCTTATATTTTGTAGTGTTCCAACGATCTTAATGTAATTTAAAGAATTGTTGTTCACTACGTGATATTAAGCGGTGCCGCGAACTCATCTGGGTTTCATATTTATAGATGAAAAATAAAGCTTGTAATGTTTGCGATTATATGAATCTAAAAAGCGCCACAAAATATAATAATTCTTAATAGTAAATGGTTATGGTTATTTTATTTCCACCAGATTAATCATTAATTTTAACTTTCTTTTTTCCCTTTTGAACTATCTGAGTAAACATCAGCTGTAATGATTCCAGTCTTTAAAACTAGAACCCAAATATTTTTTGGTTTTAAACGAAATCCTGGTGGTAAAATATTTTTCGGATAAACTAACTACTTGTTGATGTTTGATTCTAATCATCCAAGTTTATCTATTTCTGCTTGATTCTAACCATCCAAGTTTATCTATTGCTGCTTGACTCATGCCAGTAGCAACAGTGAGCAGCAACAGCAGTTGTCGGGTTTTTATTTGAACTTAAAACTTAGATGTTTAATCACATGATTTTTCTTGTTCTTAGTGTCAAAGAAGTTCTTTAGAAAGACTGGCTTGTGACTGATTTCCATTTGTTATGATCTAATGAACACAATATCAAGTCTTCTATGTTAATGCTTTTCAATAATAAAAATAGTTTAAAATACATTTTAGTTTAGATTAGATTAAATCATTGCAAACACTGATTAAGCGTAGCCGTGTTCTGACAAAAACTTGCAGTGTTTGTAGTCTTTCTGGCGTACGAAAAGGAAAAAATAAATGCATAAAAGTCCCTTTTTGTCATTCAT